TCATGTATATTACTTTCATGTGAATTACCTGTGAGAAACTATGCATCATGTCTCCATGTGATCCATATGCAAAATTACCTCATGAAGTGCATACTTGCTGTGGACAGAACGCTATAGTGCTTTTAAAATGCTAATTAGCAATTCTCTGAACCACTTCAATTAGAGAATATATTTATAAACCCTTCCCTTCCTTATAAAAGGAACATCACAAACAACATAATATAATCTGTCTCCTGTTTGTTATAAGAGCCTTCAAACAGAGTTTTGCTTATATGAACTTCATTTCAGGAACACATCATAAGGTCTTGTTACTGACTGTGTCCCTTTTCAGCTTAAAGAGTCAGTTAAGTTAGGAAAATACAAAATAATATTCAAATAGTAACTTTATATTCATTATTTTTGCTACTTTCATTAAATATCTAGGATAAAACATTGCCTGTATGCCATTTTTCAATTACAAGTCTTCTAGCACTGGCACTACAATAAGTTCATTTTTTTGTAGTTAATCATAATACACCCAATCAAATTCAAAACTTCATACATGTTAGCAAACCTAGCCAAGGTAACACTCCCTACTCAGTCTTGGAGTTCCCCTTTCTCGATTGTCCACCCTCTCTTATTCTTCCTTCACTATTAAGAGCATCCACTCAAATATTACAGTCTCTCCCTATCTTCATCCAACTTTTTTCACCTCATTTCCCACTCCTAATAACTTCTATTTTAGCCAGTACCTTCTGGTTTCCAGTTTTGGGATACAACTGATATTCTGGAGATCAAGTGATTCCCTACTGCGAGGAGTGGTCCTGCTCATTTGTCCCTTCTGTCTCCTGGTAGCACACTTGCATGTCCTCCCTCATCTTAGCTTTGGTTTTCTTCAGACCACTAGGGAACTGTTCAGCTCACTAAACCAGCAAAAGCTACTCACCTCTCTCCTTGCTGGCTTCACCTCTCTCCTTGCTGGCTCAGTTTTCAACTTGCTTAGTGATCTGACACAAATTACCAAAAAGCAAAAAAAACATCAAAGTTGTTCCAAAGAAAGGGAGGAACAGTGAAGAGAGGAGGTCTTTGCTAGAAGAAGGAAGAGAGTAAGAAGAGAATGGGTCTGTCCTTTTCAGTCCCATAGGCTCAGCCATTTTACCTGGCACAAGCCTTAATCATTCAGTTCTATTCCAAGTTAGTTTAAGCTTCTCTACAGTCCTACTAACTTTGGATTTCTGTGTTTTCAGGGTATAGTCTTTTTCACAACTACTATATATCAAAAAAGGAGCATTCTTCATTGGCTGGGGGTGGGTAACACCATTTTTCTCATTTGTTCTCACTTCCCTCATTCCCCCTTGTCAAATTTTTATTCTTTTTTCCACATTAGCACCAATATATACAAAAGAAAGTTGGGTAAATGACCCATCCAAGTCTCATTCTGATTTGAACCATGGTCATCAGTCACTGTTCTAGAACTGCCCTAAGTCACAGAGGCTACGTCATAACCAGAGATTTTTAAGTTTCCTGCTCTGAATCAAATGCACTTCAATAACTGCTAAAAATACCACTAATCTTCCTTCTCTTTCAGATAATACTTAGTAAAAGGGCATATTGGTGTCATTCTTTACTAATTTAACAATTCTGAAAATTTTCTCCCTATTTTTTTCTACCACTGTGAACAACTTGAGAGAGAAGCATTGTTAGGAACTAAAAGGTCTCAGAAAAATCTTCCCTGAGGCAGATATTCAGGTATATTGAAGATCATTTCAAAACCAAGCTTGGCTTCTCCAGGGCTACAAAAGTATAATGTATTTTATGTTAGAGTAGGAAGAACTTCATACACAAATGCAGAAAGTATGTTTCTGACTATTTAATAAATGTCTTTTTTATGAGAAATTTTAGTGTTTGTACTTCTGGTTTTGCAGAGCAATTTATTTCTTGAAAGCCTTAAGTTATTCTAAAGCTTTTACTTAGAATTTTGATAATTCAAATGAAACTATTACATGTAAATATAAGTATGTTAATTCCCAGTCCTGCCTACAGAGAAAATTGCTAAATAATTATTGTTGAACTATAAATTATTCTCAGTTAACTATTAACTCACTAAGATGAAAGCTGTGGTCTCTTCCCATGGCCGACAGTTGCACTTCAACAGGAAGATCCCAAAACCTGTACTTTCAAATGAATTCCTGATAGAACTTTGAGCAATGAAACTACTAGATATGTGCCATAAATATGTATCTATATATCTATAAAGAAACTGAACTTCAGAAAAAGTGGAAGTACAGAAGTAAGGGTACTCTGCCTTAGCTAAATGTTTCAATTTTGACTGCAGGAATATTCTCCAATTATCAAGAAAATGTGTGAAGAATTATGATTTTAAAACAATCAGAAAAGAGAATTAAAACTATGTGTAGAGCTGTATGAGTCCAATTTGTTATTTAAACTAATAAATTAGAATATTTAACTAATTCATGGCATTTTCCAAATACAAAGTTACATAAGTAACTAAAGACTCTGGAAGTTTTGCAGAAATAAGTAGTGCATACTGTGACAGCAATAGAACTTTGAAAAGCCATTCATAAGATCAGCATTTTTGCCATGAAACAAATCTTTCAATCAACCTGACTGATAAAAAGTGAACCAAAATTCTCCATAACCTGGAGTGCAAGTTTATAACTGTAAATCTTAATATCACTTACATTGACTAAATTTGGAGATACATCATTTGTCTCACTGAACTATAGTTTGTTAGTTATTACTCATGTCAGTTTACAGAAGAGAAGTATTCCAAATGCTCTGTCAATATGAATGATTCCACCCCTGGTTCAGAAGAAAATGGAAAGTCATCCCAGATCCAGAGACATACCTACAGTGTTATATATGCCAGTAAAGTAAGAAATTTTTCCGTAAAGTTACAGATTTTCTGACCAGTAATAATGCTGGCATACAATCATACTTGAAAATGAAAAAAAACCCTGAACAAAAACCCCAACAGAATAGTATTACGTCTTTCAGAAAGTTGCTGTGATTTTTTTTATATATATTAATGTTGTAAGGTAACTGTAAACAAGAACTAAGATCTGGTTTGTCTGTTTTTCTACTCTCCACAAAGATGTTTCTGTTTAATAGCCAGGATTTTCAGCCAACAGATGCCATTTGTATGTATGTGTCTTATTTTGTTTCTTGTAAAGCTATTGTGGGTTAACCCCAGAGAGCACATAAGCACCACACAGTGGCTCACTCACTCACTCCAATTCTAGGTGGGGCAAGGGAAAGAGGCATGGAAAAAAACCCCAACAACTCAGGGGTCAAGATAAAACAAACAAAACTGTTTAATAAATGAAGGATAAGTGGAAGAAGAGGAAAGAAAATAAATGAAACAAGTGATACTAAAGCAATCACTCACCGCCTCCCATAGGTAGACTGATGCCCTGCCAAATCCCAAGCAAAAGATGACTAAGACTAACCCCTCCAAAGCCCCCTCTTTCTGCTTTTTTCCTGAGCATGACATTATATGGCAGGGAATTTCTCTTTAGTTATTCTGGGTCATCTGTCTGGGTGTGTTCCCTCCCAGCCTATTGTGAAGCCCCTAGTCTATTCACTGGGGGGATGCAGAGTGGGAAACAGAGATTGATGCTGTGCAAACACTGCTCAGCACAAGCTAGAACATCCCTGTGTTTTCAACACTGTTTTCATCACAAATCCAAAAAACAGCACCATACAAGCTACTATAAAGAAAATTACCGCTGTCTCAGGCAAACACATTACTAGATTACAGCACAACAGGTACAGTTCCACATCTAACAATTCTAAATAATACTCTAATTTAAAAAATACTAACAGAAAACAGGAGAAAAAGATTGGTTGTGCTACTTTAGTCTTATAAAAGGGTGAAATTGCTAGTCTTGTCAGATAAACCAGCTCACCAAAAGGTATGATGAGTACAAGCAGCAATGAGAGGCCTAGGACAGCAGAGCACAACAAGAACCAAGAAAGTAATGGAAGAACGAGAGCATAGCACTCATCTTTTCTGCTGCCAATTAGTGTTTGCATCAGCTTTGTCGATTCATCAAACAACACTCTAAACTTGATTTAGTTTTGAATGGGACTAAAGCTACTTCTAGAAGTACCAGTCATAAATGCAAGCCTCATAGGTAGTATTCAACACCCTCTGGCTAAGGTAATGGTTTCATATCCCTACACACCTCCTCTTTTGGAATCCCCCTTTCATGTCACTCTGCACTGTCAGCCCTCCCTATAACACACAGGGGCCAATCTGAACCACACCTACACCACTGCAGAATTAGGTCATCCAGCTCTTTTCTTGAGGATGAAATAAAGGATACAGATGTTGATGTTCTTTCTAGCTAACAAAGTATTCAGTATGTCATATATTTATGCATTTTTATATTCACAGGATATATTTATAAATAAACTCATGCACTGCACTCAAATACATTGTAACATGATTCCTGCATGCAATCATTTTTAAAACAAGCCTTTTGTTACAGAATTTGCATCAACCTCTTGTATTTAAATGGTCAAAGTACGAGTCCTATACTCAAGGCAATGTAAATTAGTTAAATATTAGAATATTGTTCAGACAACATTCTATCAGTTAAGCTAAACAAGCTAAAAAGAACATTTTGGATAATCAGTTACCATAACATTTTGACAGACTAGAACACAGCACAGGAAAATCAGGTAAATAAACACGTAAACTTTCTTCATTTTATATAGAAAAATCTTTCATTAACTTTGGTTAAGAGGTCATTCAGTAACAACAGGACTGAAATATAAGCTGACATAAAAATGTATCTCCAAGGAACTCTTATATAGTTGTAACATTTGTTTAAAAATGTCAACAATTTTCACTCCTTAAGTAGTGAAAAATACTTTAATTGCAAACAAATTTATTATTAAAGGCTAGTATTAAAAAAAAAAAAAAACCCAAACCAAACACTACAACACTTTCATGGTTGGTTGATTCTATTAAAGATTTATGAAATAAGACTGACCTGGACAGAAATTCTGCTGTGTCTGAGTAGTTAATTTTTCTTGCACAGCACGCTTTTCAAAACGCTCTGCAGTTGCACTCTGATGTGAGCCCTGTTGTCTGTTGGCAAATCCCAATTCTCCAGGTTCAGAAAACTTCAGATAGAACTGTGGCTCCAGATCACTGAAAGAGAAGTTTATAGCACCATGTCTTCCACAGCCATAGTCACTGAACGTAGATTCGTCCTCGGTGTTCTGTGTTGGTAACGGGAGAATCCGATGATGCAGCTGTGGGCTAGGCAGTCTTGAAGATAACGGAGAAGGAACAGGTGACATTTGTTTGTGTGTATTAGATAGTGGATATGAACTACTAAAAACATTACTCACTGCTGCTAAAGGGGGTGAATGCAGCCTTTTCTCTTCCAGTTTAAGATTATTACTTGTCTGAGGAATATCAGGACTTTCATTTATAGGCAGGTTCAAAAATAAATGCTTGCTGTTTCCCTGGGATACCGTGGCTCTTTTCTCATATAGAGAGCCCGGTAGGTTTCTGTCTGCTCTTGTAATTTGTTGCAGTCTCTTCCATTCTGCAGCTTCATCTAAACTGTCGCTCCGTATAACTTTCAGAAGAGCTTTATTGACTGCTCCCACAAGGTTGTGTGACTCATCAGTAATGTGCACTCTCTCTGCTTTGTACTGCAAACCAGAGCTGTCTTCCTCCTTCTCCTGCAGCACAGTGTTATTACAGTCTCCAGCAGCTTCATCTACAGAGCATACATCAGTTCTTGATATAAACTTATTATGTACTGTTGTGAGAACAGGAGGAATGGTTTCTTTCTCTCTGTGAAAATCAGGTAAAGACTCTGCAGGGGGTTTGGTAACTTTTTTAATACAAGCATCTAAATCCTGTATTTCACCAACAGCTGTGATTCCTGGTTTCTCCTTGCATATTGGCTCAGCATACTTGCTACCTTTCAAGCTTTTAGCAGCAGCTGGTTTACTTAATGTCTCAAGTTTATTAGATAGACTGTAGTGAGATGGCTTCACTGAAGTGCTACTCTGTTGCACCTTTGCAACTTCAGGAATGCATTCTCCATTATCCACTGGTTCAACTGTGACCACATCGTTGCTGTCTTTGGAGCCAGAACTTGGTAAGTCAGCATCCAGTTTCACAGCTTTGTTGCTCCCGAGAATACACCTTTCTGGTTGTATTCTACTGTCTACTGGCAAATTTTCCTTACCTTTTACTGTTAGCCAATTGGAGGCAGAAAAGGAACTGTGATAACTCCTGGTAGGAAACCTTGTGGAGAGCATCTTAGTTTCCTGTTGCGTGTCTTGTGCACTCAGCAAAAAAAGATGTTCATGTATCTTTTTTCCCCCTTTCCGGTGTCTGAATTCTTCAAAACTCTCTTTCCTTCTGTATTTCCTCATTTTTTTGTGATTCAAATTGTCTCTTATTGTGGAATCCAGAAAGAATTCCTGCTGATGTGTAAGACTAGAGTAATTATCACCTTCAAGTTTTGTGACTCCAGAAACATCCTGTCGCTTTCCGTCCTGATGTCCTGTCTTAAGGTCCGGAACATGATGTGATCTCAAAACACTGGATAACAGTTTTTCCTTTTCAGTAGTCAGTTTGTACAGCTCAACAAGAATGTCTTTCGTGGTAGTTTGTTTGAAAATAATATCTCCAAAGTTTTCATATGGCTGTTCTCTCAGCTCCATCTCTAACCTCTCCCTTACTTGATAGCAGCTACAGAAACGTTTACTGGTTCTATCCAGAGTTACACAGCCCTTGTAAGTAAATCCTCTGACTTTTCCCTCTGGAAGATAGAAGCTGATGTAACAAAGCTCCATAATGGGTTTGTGCAATTGAAGGACAGTATGTGTGCCTTCCATTATGCTTGCCAAATTAATCATTCATTTAAATTATGGGCTAAGTGTTTCAAAGCTTGCATGACATAGCATGTGAGGCCCGGAATGGACGGAAGGCATCTGACTAATCTTCAACAATAATATTGTCTGCTGGAAAAAATAGAGAGAAGCCTGTCAAACTTGATTATGGCAAATTTAATATGACAAATAACAAGCCTGCAGAAGCATAATCTTCTTTCACTATCCTCTGATACAAATCTTTTACCTTGAAAAATCTGACACAAAAAGAATGACATTGCTAACACTCATAGTTGGAGTCATAATCCTTCTGTCATATATCATCCCTCTGTCTCCAGGGTTCTCAGCCAATGTTCTTCAATAAGATCACAAGATATTCACTAAACACCCATTTCATACAAACTTTACTTTTGAACAGTGGAATCTATTGCTCTCCCTCTGTTAAAAGTTAACTTGCTGTTGAACATTTAGTAAAAAGAACCATTCAAGCATATCTGTTGTCCTTTTACTCAACATAACACCATCACAATGTAATTAGGTCTTGCTGCTTTATTTGCTAGGGAAATGTGAAAAATAAACAAGGCTGAAGATTTTCTTTCTGTGAAAGTGCCATGACATCAAGAAAACTTGGAATAAGGAAAAAAAAGTTTCTGTTGACTTTCTAGCATATAGGTACTACATAAATGTATTTTGATTCAACATGCAATACTGTAATCGTACTACTATGGGCAGATTTATTTAACTTTGTTATTGTATTTTCTTGCTACAGATGAGATATGTTTACATTCTTTTGATACATCATAGAAGTTCATTTACTCCTTTTGAGCTCTAAACTGTTTTTTTATCCAGAAGGAACTCTGCTACCACAATTAAAGTGGACAAATTTGAAGTTCACCAAGAAATGCATAAGGATCAGGGAAAGGCCTAAAGCCCAGGGGGACAGAAAGCTGCTCCAAGGCTTTTCTACATTGAAAAATGCAGGGATTTCAGTTTTCAACTTAAAAAGCATAAATACAACATAACTTTTCATCATTTTAAAGCAGTTAAACTTAGCCTCAGGCAACAATAATTAAAAGGAAGCTGCCATATTACTATGTAACACATTTCAGAGAATCATATAATATGCTGAGTTGGAAGGGACCCATTGAGATCACTGAGTACAACTGCTGCCCTACACAGGACAGCCCAGGAGTCACAGCATGTACCTGAGAGCATTGTCCAAATACTTCTTGAACTCAGGCTTGATGCTGTGACCACTTCTTGGGGAGCCTGTTCTAATGTTCAGCTATGCTCTGGGTGCCCCCCAGGACAGGGTTGGCCCTCCTGGCTGCCAGGGCACTGCTGACTCATATTCAACTTGCCATTGACCAGGCCCCCCAGGTGCCTTTAGACAGTGCTGGTCTCCAACTCCTCATTCCCCAGTCTATATACACAACCAAGGTTGCCCCACCCCAGGTGCAGATTCTGGCACTTTCCCTTGTTGAACTTCATATCGTTGGTGATTGCCCAGCCCTCTAATTTGTCAAGGTCTCTCTTCAGGGCCTCTCTGCCCTAAAGGGAGTTGACAGCTCCTCCCAATTTAGTGCCATTGGCAAAATTACTTAGAATTCCTTAGAGTCCTGCAGGAAGGGGTAGGAAAGGTGCAAAACCTTTAGTCAGCACTTCTGTTGAAGACCAGATTGCTGTTTCATAGACCCACAGAAGCTTCTGAGAAAAATATGCCATCTTGTTTCGTCTTGTATTCTTGTTTTAACTCATTGTCTGAGCCTGGAGTTTGAATATGGACAAGGCTGAGTACTGCCAAAAAGAGCAGCCTCACCTCTAGTCTTCTTTGTCTCCAGCTGTGCAGGCCTGCTGCTCTTCTAGGATACAGTGATGATGCAGCCACAGTGGGGGTGTGCCACTGGCAGATGCAACCAAGAGTGGTTCTACACACAGAAGTAAGAGGAGCAGTCTTAAACCTACTAGTTCTTCAGGCAAGAAGTACTGAACATATTTTATGGCAGCAGGTTGCCAGTACATCAGCTCAGCATAGCACAAAATTGCCACTTAAGTAATCTACTGTGGTGACATCCATGAAATATGAGCTATTTAACTTGTGGACATTTCCATAAATGTCTCAGTAGTCACAGCTAACGTATGCTGAGTCACTTTTTACTTAGAGAACATTACTTAGAAGAATATCAAGGGAGTTACTAGGCAAGGAAACGGATGGCACAGTCTGTTTGGTTCACTGGCAACATAGAGCTGTTCAACTAGGAAGAAGAAAAAATAGGTAACTGGCAAAAAACTAGACAAAGTGAGGGTGCATATCCCAAGGAGACCAACTGTATGTTTCATATTGACTTAAGAAAGATGATGCATCACATCAAAGTATTTGTCAAAGCATTTGATTCAGAAAATAACAGATGCAATACACAGAACATCAATATGCAGAATAAAACAGTCTGCATTATGTGTATTCACAGTCTTATCTAGGAGAAAACCCTTAGCGTTAAAGTAGTCTGAATTATTTTATCTGTTCCTCTTTTTCACCTCAACTGGCATGGTAATTTCTCACTAAAATATGATTAAGTGATTACGAGGAAATAGCATCATGGAAACTACAGACCCAGTAGCTATAGACCCAGACATTATGATCAAATTTCATATCCTCAAATGACATCTATAGTTTTATCAGGTCCAAGTCAGATCCATTCTGTAGAGTACATTACTCTTGGTAAAGTGCATGTTTTTGGTTTGGGGATTTTTGGGACAAAAGACTGTATGTGTAAACGAGAGAACTAGCTAGCCCTTGCCTCTGCTGCACAGATTTGCTAAGCTATGCCCCTCCCAAAACACAAGCAGCTCCCCTAATCTAATCTGAATTCTGAATCATTACGTTACTGAAATGAGACCTACAGTTCTTCTTAAAACATATTGCAACTAAAAGCTCTTTTTCAGTTAGAAATAAATACATCTTTTGAACTTTCTTTTTTTAAAGATAACAAATTGTTATGCCAGTTTAAACCTAGTCTAAAGGCTACATCCTATTAGATATCTTCTTAATTACACCAAAATAAACAATGGATTTGGTGCACCCATATGGATACATTAAAATGTAAAATCACCATGAATAGAACATAACTCACCTCCTTATGATGAGAAGATTTACATAGACTATGAAATTAAGCATTAAAAGTGAATTTTTAGAAAAAAACTGTAATAGTAACAATAGTAATAACAGAAAGAAGATTTTTTTACTATTAGGGCAATGACATATTCTGTATCTAAACTTCCGTTGATTTAAAAGATAATGTTATACCATGTGCTGCACTGTTTACTGGTATTTTGAAGCTTATTTCTATTAATAGATACATTCATTACTAAGAAAACCTTTTAATTTCACTGCCTTTAGCACCTTATTCAACCTTTTTTAATCTTCCATCAGAAAACAAAGAAGTGAACTCCCTGCTATAGAAGCAGAAGCACTAGAAGAAACTATCAGAAGAATTATGTCAAAGAAGAAAACTGGTTAAGGACTTTCAAACATAATTACAATACCTGCCCCCAACTTCTCTGTTCACCTTGCAATCCGTTTATAAAATTATTTCCATTGCAAACCTCACTACAAGGAGTGAACTGTTGTAAATTACAGCCACATTCAGGCAAAGCACACACAGGTAAAATTTTAACTACAGAACACACAGTGTGGAGCAATGAAAGCAATATTCAGCATAATTTCCAATTGTTTCTCTCGTGCAACTTTCCAATGAGTAGTAGCAGAGCAATGGGTTTGTGAGAAATACTGCTTCAAGGAGAAAATCAACTACTCAGAGATATTTAAAAACTGGAAAGAACAGCTGAGAGTGTTAAATAGGCAGCTGAGAAGCAAACCTGCTCTGCTGATGGATTTTTTTTTAGTGTAACAACAAAAAATGTCCAGATTTAGTGGCCCTCAAAGTCTAACAGCAACACATCTATTCATTTTGCTGTTCAAAATGTTCTCTTAGAAAGCCAGGAGTCCACTGCTGCAGTTCTTTCTCTAGGAGGATGCATCATTTACTGCTCTGCAGGACAGATAGTCTTCCTCCTTTCCCTGATACTTAAGCAAGAATTGAAACTCCTAAATTTCCCAGCTCTCCCTAGTATCTAATTGTCATTAAGTGACAACCTGTTTCTGAGCACACCATGGCTAACTTTCTGTGCTGTTATGTAGCTAATTAACACATCACGATAGAAAAAGTGTGGTACAGGAAAGGTAGCAAAAATTTGAACAGAAGAGCTTGTTCTACATCACAAGCTCGAAGAAACCGAAATGAAACTACCATAGTATTTCTTTTGTTTGATAGATACAAGTAGAGACAAACTCCATCATTTTCTTCTTCTGCTTAAAATCTCATGTTTCTCCAAGGTTCTTTCAAATTATCATTTGACTTACAAATATTATCATTAGAAAGATAAAAAGTTATTATCTCTTCGTAAGGACAAAATATTACAGCTCTTTGCAGCAGTTTAGACGTAAATAAAAAAAATTTCATAACATGAAGTTTCCAACTCTAAGCCTACGTTGTATTTCCCAGATTGTTGCAACAACAAAACAAAACAACAACAACAAAAAAAACACCCCAAACACCACAAGCAAAAATCCCACCAAAATTAGAGCATTTAAGTATTTGTATAATGGTTAGAATGATAGTGTGCATAGTTAGCAATAGCAAATACTGCTCTTCTCAACTTTGCAATACTGATCTACAGTAGCAAAGAGAGTGTTAAGGAATACAAAACAGAGTCTATGCCAGACAGAGAACTGCTTTATTAAATTTCAGATCTCATGCAATGGTACAGGGGAAGTATTAAAGCATATTACAGCCTTGCCAACAAATTCAGATGAAACATAAAGCAGTAACACAAAACACAGGGTTGAAAGTCTTTAAGTTAATTCTCAATGCAGAGCTTTTTATACCAAAACCAATTTTTAACCATAAATGCAACCTTTGGCTGTGTCATTCTGTTCAAACTATTTCCACACCAACAACCACGAAATTCAGAACCAAGTCCATGAAACAAAAAAATCTGAAACCCCGCTCTCCGAATACATCATCTTTGTGATCTGAAGATGAGGACATCCAAATTCTTGAAACATGAAG